TTTCACAGTACCAGTGAGCATACTAGTATGGTAGGGGTGGATGGGAAAGGAGGCAATGACCATATAAACAGAACCTTGCCACAGGGGGAGAAATGACGTTCATCAGGACAATACCCTGTCTTATTTTGGGCTGATACTAATGGCTGATTTTTATGGAGCCATATTGGCCAATACCAGTTCAATTCCAATTTGCAGCTGGGCAGCTTGGAGACCAGTTTCGGGCTGTAAGTCTGGTGTGGGGGAAGGGGTGGGGGGATGGCATGGGGGCAGATTGAGACCCCTGCAGTGAGGGAGGGAGTGAGGTAGGGGCAGGTGCTACTCAGCTGGGGTGGGGTCAAGCGTGGGACGGAGCTGTAGCTCATCCAGGGGCCTCGGGGCAGGGGTGGCTCCCACCCTGCACTCACCCTGGGAAGGTATGGGGGGCATGTGCCCTGGGATTTGTGAAGGGTGGGGCAGGCTGCCACTGCAGGCTGGGGTGGGGCTGTGCCAGGTTCTTCCCAGCAGGGTGCTGGGCTGGGCTGCGCTCAGGGCAGGCGACAGCAGCACTGGGAGGGGGGGCTGCGGCCATCCCAAAATTCACTGTAGCCCCCCCATAGCCCTCTCCAAGTGCTGCCGCTGCCTGCCCCGAACACAGCCCAGCCCAGCTCCCTGCTGGGAAGAGCCCAGCACTGCCTCAGCCCTAGCCAGTAGAGGCAGCCTGCCCCACCCTATGCACAGTTCCGGGGGCACACGCACCCCGTGCCCTCCCAGGATGGGTGCAGCAGTGGGAGCTGTGCCCCAAGATGAGCTGCTCGCAGTTCCATTCCATGCCCAGCCCTGCCCTGCCCCGCCCTGCCCCACCCCAGCTGAGCAGTGCCTGCCCTTGCCCCTCCACTCCCCTTCCTTCTCCCCACCCCTTCCCCCACAACAGTCTTATCAGCCAGATGCTGGTCTCCAAGCCACCGGGCTGTGCTCTTGGCCCCATGCATGCTGAAGCTGTGCACATGTACGGGGCATTTATTGGCCACATTACTAGCCACAAGAGGCAAAAAAGCCGATTTCTGATACAGTCAATTTTCCCTATGTTGGTGCCGATTCAATGTGGGACTGATGCATCAGTGCACCCCTACTTTGGCCCATGTTCCACGTTTTATCTTCCCTACTATTGTTACCTGTACTAGCTAATTTAAACAATAAATTTAAATATAAGATGATCACTTTTTCTATCCACTGTAAGTCAAGAAAATTGGCCAGTAAAGTAGAAATCCGTAATTTTAGGAAAACTGACTTCCACGAGCTTTGGAATCCCCATGGGGGTTGGTTGGTGAGGCCCTGCGGGACCATGGTCTGATGAGGAAGCGGGTACAAGAAGAGTGGTTGTTCCTTAAGAAAGTGATCCTAAAAGCTCAGAGGAAGTCTGACACTTCGTGTCACTGATAACTGACACTCAAGACAAAACCAAAGTCCTGAATGAATACTTCATATTGGTATTGCACCAGTCCAAAGGTGCTAGCCTGCTTGACAGGATACAGGATGATCATGAGTGGGGTGACCACCCCCCATAGTTGGTATGGAACTTGTAGATATTTAGCCTTTGTAGGTGCTCCCCCACAAGTCAGCAGGACAGGTGAACTACTTCTGAGGGTGCTAAAAGAACTGGCCGATGTTATCGTGTGACTGATGGCCGTGTTATTTGAAGACTCGTGACACTTGGGAGAGGTCCCAGAAGACTGGAAGAAGGCCAATGTGATGCTTATCTTTAAGAAAGGGAGACAGGAGGACCCAGGAAATTACAGGCCAGTTAGTTTGACGTCAATCCCTGGTAAAATCCTGGAGAAAATTAGCAAAGAATCCATTACAGACAGGCTAGCAGAAGGCAGTATCCTGAGGCATAGCCAACATGACTTCGTTACGGACTGGTCATGCCAGACCAACCTCATTTCCTTCTATGATCAGGTTACTTGCCACCTGGATGGGGGAAATGAGGTTGATGTCATATACTTGGGCTTCAAAAAGGCCTTTGACCTAGTCTCCCAGAAATTTGTCATGAAAAAATTGGGAAAATGCGGCCTCGACTACTTTATGGTCCAGTGATTAGGTAACTGGCTCCTTAGTAGGACCCAAAGAGTTTTGATTGATGGAACTGAGTCATCATGGTAGAGGGTGACCAGTGGCATCCCTCAGGAGTCAGTACTTGGACCAGTGCTATTCAACATGTTCATTAATGATTTGGAGTCAGGTAATACAAGCAATCTGGCAAAGTTTACTGACGACACTGAGCTATGGGGGAGTGTTGTCACTCTCAAAGACAGGCTGGCAATACAGGCCGACTTGGACAGGCTCATGAAGTGGGCAGACCTCAACCTGATGTCATTTCATACAGAGAAACGTAAAGCGGTCCATCAAGGGAGAAATAACCGACAATACACTTATAGGCTCAGCAGTGCTCTGCTTGCCAGCACCACAACTGAGTGAGACCTGGGCTTCATGACTGACAACAAAATGAACATGAGCCACAAATGCGCCGCCATAGCTGGCAGAGCTAACCAAACACTGGCATGCATCCACTGGGGCATCTTGACCAAGGCAAAGGATGTCATCCTCCCACATTACTCAGCCATGGTGAGATCACAACTGGAGTACTGCATCCAGTTCTGGGCACTGCACTTCAAGAAGGATGCGGAGAAGCTCGAGAGAGTCCAGAGGAGGGCCACATGCCTGATTAGAGGCCTGGAGATCCATTACATTTTTTTTAATGTAAAAAAATTCTCTGTCCTGTATGTGCAGTTGTTCTTAACCTTTTCAGACTCAAGGCATCCCTTGGCAAATGTCAGCTCTTAGTTTCACTTGATTTTTTTTGACTACAGAAAACTAATAGAACAACTCTGTTGCCAAGAACTCAGAAAAACCACCATTACAGGTCAGAATGGTTATTAACACCATGGATTCCTATTTGAAATCTCTGGGTTTATCTTGTTAATCATGTTTGCACACCTAACAGTGATGCATGGCACTCCACAGTACCGTGGAAAGGATCTCAGTGCTGCAGCACCCAAGCTGAGACCTGTGTCTACCTGTGTCTTTGGCTTTGTTCTGCTTAAAAGGGTTTGCCAGTAGAACTAGGCTGATAAACCACTTGTGAAGACTTGGGTTATACCAATAGAAAAGTGCTTTTGTCATTGTAGTTTATTCCAGTTCCCTAAAGGGAATAAGCTATGCTGGCAAGAGGAATTCTGTGCTGGTATATTTTGTTAGCATTCTTAGAGCCTTTTCTGACACAGCTCTGCTGCCTGAGAGAATTTACACCCCTGACCAACACAGCAATGCCAGAATAAATCCTGGTGTAGATTAGGGTGGCCACCAACGCATTCCCAAAATACAGAAGATCCCCTTGGTGAGGGGCGTGCCACCTTGGTCAGTCAGCAGTGAGGTCCACCACCTCAGCCAGTCAGCAGTAAGGAGAGGGGGCCACCAGGCCTTTTCGCCAATTGGAAGCAAGAGGCGGAATCAACACACAAAGGCCACCTCCCTCCCTATCTCCCTGGCTGGGAACCCTGCTTCTCCTGGCTGTTCACCTCCCTACCTCTAAACACAGCCAATAGAATCGTGAGGACAAATGATTGACATGTATTTCCACCAGTGAACTGAAAAACAGGATTTTCTGCCGTCCATTCCTCATTTAGAAATGGACAGGAGACAAAGGGTTTAAAAACAGGACAGTCCAGTATAAAACAGAAGCAAAGGCCACCCTAGTATAGAAGCATTTATATCAGAAAAGTCCTTTTTTAATGGTATAGCTTATACCATTTGGGATGTTATGTAAAAGAATTTTTGCTGATGTTAATTGGCTCAGGCATAATGGCAGACAAGCCCTAAGACTTTTGAATGAAATAGGGGCTAATAAAAATAAACAAAAAGTAGTTCTCAAGTCTTCAGTAACGTTTGACTTGCCTTCTCTGATATCATACTTCAGGGAGAAAGAGAGAGTGAGGATTAACTGAACACACTAAAATATAACAAGCTCACGTGTATTGAAGTGTGTCCTTGACCTGGTATGGAGCCATTCTGCACAGAAATGTACTGAATGTTCCTTCAAAAAATAACACTGGGATCAAATAAATGGATAATATTGACATCAGCATTTGTAGATTTAACATATCCAGTCCAGCATATTTGTTTTTGCTTAATTGAAACAAAAAAAATGTGTCTGTAGCAAGTAGTGTAACTAAGGTTGGATGTATGGGGAACTTAGTCCCAGGCACTGATTTAGAGGGAGCAGAAGAATGGTGGCTGCTGCTGCTGTTGGCCTGGCAGCTGCTGTTATTAGCCCAAATACCACCACTGGTCTGGGCCCAAAACTTCCTACATGTACCTCTGCTTGCAGCTTTTGCTCTGGCACTTGTGTTAAATGATGTTAAGTTGTGTTAAATGGTGTCAACTTGTGTTAAATGGTGTTAAGTGAGTCAAGTCATCAATTATGATGCCTAGTAGTAAAAGATTTCCAAAATATTCATGTTCAACTCCCATTTATTTCTAGTGATGATTTTGCTGAGAAGTGGCATTCTTTGTTAAAAGCTTGAGATTTCTGCTTACATAGAACTTTCAGGTCTGAGGTAAGGGATATATATGCCTGCTTACTTTTTCTGTTCAAATAGACCTTCACCAGTCCAATGAAAGCAAAAGGCTTTTTTTTTTTTAATCATTTCTTCTTTATGAATCATTGGGCATTACATTTAATATCTAGGAAAGATTCTTTATTTCATTAAAACCCACCATTTTCTGAAGTATTAATAGGATGCTGAAAAATCACTACTTTTCATCCAGGGTTTATATAGTGGGAAAAGTAAAATACCGGCTAATTCATCCAAAACCATTCAGTGAGTTGATTAGAAAGTGAGGATTAGCATACAATCCTTCTGAACCATAGTTTTTTAATATCTAAACAGGACCTTGCTGCTTTCCATACTATTCTGATTTAAAACTGCCTGATTTCCATACTCTGTCCTCTTTTTTTATTTTAGCAATTCATCAAAATGAAGAAAACAACAGCCCAGAGGACCTCCAGGATACCTCTGATGCACAGGTAAATGTATCAGTGTTTTTCAACCCCACTTTCAATGGCCCCTTACCAATGAGAAGACAGCTTTTCCCTGCATCCTAACCCATTAAACTGTATGATGCAGCAGGTATGCTAGATTTTTGTCTGCTGTGATTATTTATAGTAAGATTAATTTATTACACTGGGAATGAAATCTGTGTCCTTGAAATCAGAAGGTATTCTTGGGTAGTATATTTTTCTGTGACTTTCTGTATGATATATACATTATATGCTTCAATTTATTTCTGAATTGCATCTGTTCTAAGTGGCATATATGTTGACATTTTGGTTAAATATTAAAGGTAAATAGATGTAAAGTGAAAAGAAGGCCTGTTATCCCTTTAAATATCTGCAGCTGCAATAGCATAAGTACACTTTTAACTGGAGGACTAGAAATCTGAACAGGAAGAAATTACACAGAAATCAATGTGAGAGGCAAGGTGATATCTTTTATTGCACCAACACATAGTTGGGATAATTGGATAGACTTTCAAATGGAAGACAGAATAATGCCTTGGCTTCAAAAGCAGCTTGTCTAACTCTATCCCAACTATGTAGTTAGTCCAATAAAAGATATCGCCCTCAGAAATCCTTGCCTCTCACATTGAACTAGGGTGAAATCCAGACACCATTGGCTACAGTACTGAAATTCCAGCTTGCATTTGTGTTTAAGTGCATAGGTCTGATTCAAGTTGCTTATCATAATTGCTTTACATGAATGACCATTCAGGGTTTATTTAATCAAAGATTTAAAAACAGAAAGAGTACATTAAGTATGCTAAGAGCTAATAAACAGCAGGTTATTAAGATTACATGGACATACTATAAAAGAAGCCACAATAGTTTAATGGCAGTATATCCAATGTTGTTAATTCATCATCTTATAATTGATTGCAAACCTATTTCCAAAATTTGGCAAATAATATACAGTGAGTTGACAATTTAGTACATAAAGTGTGCCAAGAAGGCACACTTTTAAGGAAGAGAGGTGAGAGAAATTGGGGAGTGCCGTTGCAGGGCAGACTTCCTTTGACTTGGGATCTTAGACTTGTAATAGTTGTTTGAGACTATCTTTTACCTTGAAACCCTTGAGTAGTTCTATTAAAAAAAAAAAAAAAAAAAAAAGGAACTACACATTTGAATGACACTAAGACATGTTAAGTGTTTTCTGTATTGGGGCAAATGCACTTTCACCTGCTGATTAATGAAAATTGAACACTAAAGGTGCCTATACACAAGGCTGCTCTGACATACTGTAATTCCAGTGCATAGGAACACACTCGATTAATCAAGTCTGCTGGACTGAGGCAGTTACCATGCTGCAGCAGCCTCTCATGTCTCATGTATCCGCATCTCTGTGCTTCAAAATGGCAGTGGGGGTGCTGTATCTAAGCGCAGGGATACTGATACACAAGACACTCTGGGCTCTCTTTTCATTAGAGTGGCGCTATAATTAAGGCCTGTGGCAGGGCACTGTTTGTGCCTGCCACTTTTAGGGCCTGGAGCTGGCAGCTGCCAGGTGCCTGATAAGGGCAGCCGTTTTGAATCTGGGGCTGCCCATTTGCACAGGGCAGTTCTGCTGCTGGAGGCCAGGCAATAACACCGCCTGGCCAGAGGGCTGCTGGTGTCATCTGGAGGTCAGGGAGGAGCTGTAGGGGATGGTCAGGAGGCTCCTGCTCCTGGGCGAGACCTAAAACTGCACCTTGCCGGGAGTGGGCAGCCTGGTGGGGCTCCCAGTGGCACAGTAGCCCCCAGGAAATGCCAGGCCAGTTACCACCCCGGTGAAAGGCAGGTCGGGGCGCCTTAACCCCTAGCCCCCACGACCGGGTGGGTTAGCCCTTGTTTGGAGGGCCTGGAGGGCGGACCCTCGGAAAGGCCATAGACTTAGGCCTTCTCAGAGAGAAAAGGCCATAGACTCAGGCCTGTCTGGACTTCCCCTGACTGGTCCATGCTGGGGCCAGGACTGGAAGAGTCGAAAGGCCGGGGGGGCCCACTGCGAGGAACGCGCAAGAGCTGTGGGCCTGCAGTCCTGACTGGCCTGGAGGTGGGCCAGGGCTAGAGGAGCCAAAGGTCCTTTGGGGGACACACCCGGAAGGGGAAGCGGTTGAGGGAGCTGTGCTGCCCAGGATGAAAGCGGATGAGACCGGCTGAGGGGAGGAATCCAGGTGGGGTTCAATTAGGAGGGTTCTGGGGCCCAGCATGGGGGGCCAGTGATTATGATAACACCTAAATGCCATCTGCAAGGCTTGAATTGCGGTGTAGAGGAGGAACGGAGCCGCAGATAGTGCCCCCTGGCATCGGGGCAGGAAATGGGCAGCCTCCTGCTTAATTGAGATCTATTAATTGATTACCAACAAGGCATGGTGGGCGAGAAAGCGGGCAGTTAGCCCAGAAACAGGTGGGCGGGCCACAGTTAAATTGGCCCGGAGAAGGGCCCCTACTACAAGGCTCCACCCCCTGACACACTCCTGGGCTAAGGACAGACATTCAGAAAGCCGGAGCCTGAACTGCTTCAACCTTTGCAGGTAGTCTAACCAGGCTAGGCTAAACCAGTTTGTAACAGGACAAACATGCTGTCTGCACTGAGGCAATACAAGCACATGCATATAGTTGTTCAGGCCAGGAGCTGGGGAGCACTAGAGCGGCTCTCGGCTGCAGGGAAGCTGGTGGGGGCATGGCCAACCCAGGCTGAGTTGGCTAGAGAGGGGTTTAATTCCCCCCTCCCTGTGCCACCAGCAGGGACTGCCTGGCACTGCCCCCTAGCTCCCTGCCCAAAATAGGCCCCCAGCTGCCCCCTCCACCAGAGGGAGGAGGAATAACCCTGTCCCTGCCCAGCCACACCTCCTCCCTGCCACTGCAATGGGAGGCATCAGCCCCTGTCATACTGCAGAGGAGCACAAGCCCCTTCCCAGTGAGGGGCTGCGCTGTGGGGCCGGCAGAGCTGTGGCCAGCTGTGCGTGGCAGCGCCGGAGTCCCGAGCAGGCCAGAGCCCTGCAAGCCCCCTGCAGTGCTCCACAGTGCAGCCCCCACTGGGAAGGGGCTCTCTCTTTGAGAAGCCATGACAGGCTGCTGGCCATCAGGGTTACTCACTGGGTGCTGCTCCATCTGTTGGGTGGGGCTGGGCCCAGCCTCCATCACTGTTCTGCGGAGGGGGCAGTCGGGGGCCTATTCTGGGGTAGCTCTGCAGTTTATTCATATGCAGCACATGGAGACAGGTTGGAGCAGCCCTGGCTGGCGGGGGGGGGGGGGCCCTGAGGGTCAGCTTACCAGTCTGAGGCTGCTTCCCTGGCTCAGCATGCTGTGGAGGGGTTGGCTGGGGCATGAGAATACTTCAGTGTGGGGCTAGCTCAGGGTTGGGCAAAATGTGGCCCACCAGGACATTCTATCTGGCCCGCGGGGCCCCTTAAAAAAAAAAAAAAAAAAAAAAATTAGAAAATTAATATTAATCTGCCTCTGGCTGCCTGTCATGCAGTCCTTGATGGCTTGCCAAAACTCAGTAATCGGCCCTCTGCCCAAAATAATTGCCCACCCCTGGGCTAGCTGGTAAGCAGCCCTTGCACTGAAACACCCTCATGCTCCAGCCAGTCCCTCTTGCATCTACACGTGTGCTACTGTGGAGTTTTTTACTCTGCAGCAGGATAGTACTTGTATTTACTAGGATAGTATTACAGTATATTTTATAGTATTATAGTATTTTTACAGGATAGTATTAGTATTTACAAATACTGTCTTGCTGAAGAATAAATTGGTTTACTTCAGCCTAACAGGGGCACACATGTGGACACTCAGACATTTACTGCGCAGTAAATGTCTTGTGTAGACATGTCCAATTAGGGCCAGAGATTTTTTTATAAGTGAGTGGGATGAAGATGTTATACCCTTCTATCTGCTTAAAGATCTCTGATTTCACCTTCATGTCACTTGTAGTCTATTCATTTATCAGTCTATTCCCAAGGGAATATTTTCCAGGACACATTGGAACAGAAAGCTTGAGGTCAACATTTTTGCTTTGCAAACCTCAGTAGTGACTAGTGATTTATTTTACTTTCCTTCACAGTAAAATCTCTTGTGCTGTTTTGAAAATTACATAAATGCTTCTAATGAGAATAATTTTGTTCCAAGAACAAAAACGATGCCTTAATATAAAGCTTTTAATTTTTTTGACATTCTTTAAATTGGAGCCAGATAAAATTTGCACCCATGTAATTTTCACCTGCATGTAAATTGTGCAGCTACCTGAGTGGGTTGGAATGAAAGCAACATTTGCTCTTGCAATGTTTGTATCTGTGCATACAAAATATAACAGCAACTTGCACTTTCAAGTACAAGGAGGCTGACCTTCAGCACTTTTGCTTAACAGCGTTAAACACATTGCTTAAAAATTCAGTTTATATTGACAAGTGAAAACGACTAAGAATATTAAAATCTAACTCCAGTCCTTTCAGCCAGCTTTCAGAAGCTGTCAGAATAATGTTAATTAATTAGTTGACCTGGATGGTTTCTTACAGTAGTTAGCAGAAAAATTAATCCATGTTCCATAGGAAGTCAGTCATTGGAGAAATCAGAATTACATGTAGGCCTGTCATGTACAGGCCTGTGTACAATGTATTGTACAGTACTGTCTTTCTAAACATATTTTACCCTTTATCATGGAAGTGGCATTATTTATCCCACTAAGGTTAATGCCAAATTTTAAAGCATTTTCAAGTACCAGGATGATAATGCCTTCATTTCCCCTGGAGTTGGTTAATATTGATTATTTCTTTTTTCCTGAAAATACAATAAAGTTTATTTTATCATGTTCTCTACGTGGTTTGAAATCAGAGGTTGGCAATGTATGGCCTGCAGGCTGGAACTGGCTTGCAGAGCTGCTGGATCCAGCCTGCAGAGCTGGAGGACTTTTCCAGTGCCAGGCAGTGAGAAGATGTGCAGCTTCCAGCTGTGCCTGCACTGCTGCCATTCCTTCCTGCCATCCCAGCTCTGGTCCGAGAGAGGCTGGATGGTTTCTGCAGTGCTCATGTACCTCTGCCACTGCCACTTTCCCCAACTCCCCACTTCCTGGCTGTAGCATGGGTGAAGCTTCCAGCCAGTAGGGAGCTGCACCAGGGTTTGGGTGCCTGCAAACTGCATCTGGGCTGCCACTGTTTTCCCCCAGCCTCTGCTGCATGGATATGGTTTCCAGCTAGTGGGGAGCTGTGCCGGAATCAGGCAAGTTCTGCTATGCTCGTGCCATAACCAGTATAGAGAAAAGTGGCAGTAGTGATGCAGAATCAGGTCTAGATTAATCTTTTTTATTTCACTTGGCTTGTATACTTACTGCATTGAGACAGGTGGAAAGGATAACAAGTTCAGAAAGTTTTCGTCTTCCAGGATGCTTCCTTGAATAGTGGGGATAACCATTTCTTCAGTTAAGCATTTTTACTTTAACAGGAGTTACTGACCTTGATTAGGGGGCAGAATTGGGTCCACTGATTGTGAAATAAACCCTCTATCTTTATTTGGATACTTGTTCTGTAAAGCTGGAGCATACATACTACTTACGTGTATTTAAATACCTACACGCATTTATTTTATTTTATTTTATTTATGAAATAATCATACTAGCTAGGTATATTTTGAGCCTTTCAGTCTTATGAGGAAGACTGAAAGAACTAAAATTATGTAGAGATTATATATAGAGAAAAAAAAACTGAGGGGGGGGAGTTGATAGGAGTCTTAAAATACCTGATGGGAAATTACAAAGGGAATGAAAATAGACTATTCTTAGTGGCCATAGCAGACAGAACCAGGAGACATAGCCTCAAACTGAAGCAGAGGAAATTTAGATTGGAGATTAAGAAGAACTTTCTCACTATGAGGGTGGTTTAAGCATTGGAACAGGCTACCCAGAGAGGTTATGGAATCTCTATCCTTGGATGATTTTTAAAGCAGGTTAGACAGGTGCTTGACTTGGATGGTTTGGACTACTGCCTAGAGTAGGGGGCCGGACTAGTTGCATACTGAAGTCCCTTCCATCCCACCTTTCCAATGTTCCCATATTCCCAAGGCTAAAAAGCACAATAGCAATTAACAAAGTCAGTCAATGTCAATTAAATTATTGTTGCAGAAGGGCATTAAAAACTGCCTTGGTGTTAAAACTGATGGTAGCTTTTTAAATTACTAGGCCTTGCAGTTTGTGCTGAAGGTAAAAAAAAGAAAATAGTTCAGTCAGAGAAAGTAGAACATTTATGATGAATGTCCTCTACATTTAGAACAAAAAAAAAAATAACACTGCCTCATCTCACAGAATTTTAAATATAGGGGTTTTAATCTGGCTGCCTCATCTGGTTTTAGTTGTTTGGATGGAACATGATAAAGCTTTATAAATCAACATATTCGGTTGGAATTGGAATTGGACATTACAAAGCATACCACCCTTTGTGGGGGTGTGGATATTTTCTTTGTTAAAAAAAAGGAATAAACAAAACCCCAATCATTTTCTGGCTGCCTTTTTATAAAGTGGCAAAAATTAAATGGGGAAAAGAAAAGGTTCCCCACCCTCCCTCTTAGCAGAGCACCCTTAAGGTCAAATGGCATTAGCACAGCCACACCACCACCCTGATCCTCCCAGTCTCTTGCTGTTATCCATCAGGAAACATCTGGACTAATAATGGTCCTGAGTGTCATGCAGCCAGGTCTCAATTATGCAAGCAAAGTCATCAAACCATGGAGGGTAATGTAACTTCATTAGCTAGTGACTTTCCCTGAAGCAGCATAAACTGTACAGCTTAGTTCTTGTCAGAAAATAGCATGAGGGTACCTGTGTATTTGAAACACCTGTATGTAGAGTACATATCTGCCTTTACAGACTTGTCATCTTTACAAACACACCACAAAGCCATAAACTAAGACTAAGCGTCATCAGACTATCCCAAGGTTCTCCGCTTGGTGGTATTCTATCTTTATAAAACAACTCTAATCTAGTACTAGTTTAAAACATGTCACAGTGTCTAAACACAATGACAGAAATAGCAACAGACAATATTAATTTCTCATTTGTAAAATAAGTAATTGCAGCATAACTTCTTTTAAATTCTGTAGTTTAAATGCATAAAGAAATGCTGGAATTCATGAAGTGGAAGTTCTGTTATGTTATTTTTAGGAGTGACTCTGTTGCACTTCATCCTTTTTCCAAGGTTGCTCCTGGCTAACTTTCCCATGAGTTTTTAACCTCTTGCTATGGTTCTCTTATGTAACAGGAAATAGGTTGACAGGAACAAACAAAATATCTCACACATAGTAGCAGTTGATTTAGCCAGCCCTGCCTTCATTCTTCTGAAGTAGATGCATAGAGTAAATTAGCGGTGCCTCCAATCTGATGTTGTTTCCCCAAGAAGCAACAATATAATCCACTTCAGCAAAAGGCACAGAATTACATGAATATGATTGAAAAGATGTGTTTATTGTAAGGTTAAAACTTGTGTCAGGGTCATGTCCTGGGACTGTGGATTTAAGTATCTGTTTGCTCTTTCTCCAACCCTCAAGGCAGGGGTTTTGTGCAAACTTCAAGAAAGAGATGACATTGGACGCATTGAACTAGTCCAGAAGCTGGCAAAGGAAAATTATCCATTTTTGCAGGCGGATAGAAAAGAACCTGCGAACACAGAACAAGTAAGACATTTCTTGTTTGTTTCTTTCAGGGTTATTGGTTATAGCAGTGTTGGTCTACTAAAAGGTATCCCATTTACCCAAAGAGCCTTGCCTGTTTGTTTGTTTGTTTGTTTGTTTGTTTGTTTGTTTGTTTGTTTGTTTGTTTGGAAGAGGAAAAAGAAATTTTCCACTTTGTTGTAAACCTCTGCTTTTTAACAAAGTCGTTGCTTATGTTAACCCTTAAAGAACAAAGAGTGGTGATGCCTGTCAAGACCTGGTGCATTCTTTAGCCATTGAGCTATAGCTGTTTTGTCATGCCTTCTTCATTTTCATCCTCTCAAATTAAGTACATATACCTTTCAGCAAATTTAAAGTAACGTTCTTAACTGTTAAACATTG